GCTAAATTCCAACACACAATTTCATTAACCCAGGTACTGCAGGTGATAAAACTCATTTTTCCCTAAAGAGACAGCTAAAAAGTACCAGTTATACATTTATGAAGTACCAGCAATCAAAATTATGGATTTTCTAAAAGGTTTTTAACTACTTTTATTGAAAGGAAAATCGCTGTCTCAGACTTTTGTGACACTATTGCTAATAATAAATTTTACCATTTAGACATAGCAGTAATATGGTAGACAGTGTCAATAAAAGTATGAAACAAAGATGATCCTTGTCTCTTAAGTAATGCTCTCTGATTACACACCGGAAATTATAATGTGAAACATAAACTAAGAACACCTTAAAAATATGGTGTGTAATGTGCCTAAGTATGTACCTATTGTGGGCAAAAATATTCTCATTCATATTATTTATATATAATATATATATATAGACACATATATTATATGTATATTATTATTCATATTATATTATATATATATATATACATATACTCCTCAGATTTTCACACCTGAAATAACTGAGATAAAAACAAATATTTGTCTATGTCTATAAAATGAAAATTAAACGCGTTAGATGAAGCTCAGTAGTTCTTCATCTACTGATAAGCACAATGAAGTGCGGGGCTATTTGCGATGTTATCTTTGGGCTACTCATCAAAAACTTTTCCATCTAATATCCTATAGATCACTAGAGGGCACTGTGGTATTTAGGCCACTCTGACCTCTTTAAGCAATGTAGCTATTGGAAAGGTCTTGAACTTCCGTGCAATGTCAGAAAGGTTAATAAGGATGCTGTAAAAGAAACTGTAAAATTCAAATTTGAACAGCAACTCAAACTGTGTGGCGGCCTAGAAAATGAAATGAGCTCTTTCATCGGGGAGTATCGACGTGTTTGCCCAATGAACAGATTTCATGAACAATTGCACTTCGGCTGCCTTACTCTCCTTAGGATGGAGAAACGGTTGGAAAGACCTCGCGCCAGTACTTCTTTGCATTTACGTTTGAGGAACCGAGCGGGTACGCCGCGCGTTTAAAACTTAAGACAGACGAGCCTCTTCTGCCCTGGCTGCCCGTTCCATCAAAAGTCTCTGTTGTGCTAACTGTAGATGATTTCACTGCAGCACATTTTGACATGCAAACGATAGCAATTAATGTGTTTGAAACAATTTATGATTTCCGGCCGACTTCAACATGTATTAGCTTATACCTGGTTTCTTTAACATGCACTTTGTTTTTTGCAAAACCACAAACATCGTTGCTGGAATTTCATGTGGAAGTGCTTAAGGGGTTGAAAGTTAACACCTTTGTGAGCTGAGCAGCCTCACAGTTGCTGCTAAACAAAAGCCTCTTTGTAGAAGCTTTCTTGAAATGTTTTCTTAACATGTTCCAAGTAGTTTTAGGCAGGCAACTAAAGTAAACAAGATGTTACCATGATAAAAACACTTGTGAAAACATTGCAGAGTGCACTTAGTCGTTTCTTTCACATAAACCTTCCTTAGTTTCATTACAGCCAAATTCACATGAAACCGATTACTAGCTTCTCGCTCCTGTAGGACTGCCAGGCTCTCCAAAAGGTGCGTCTCCCCTCATTGCAGTCGCCGTTCAGATTAAAAATGCTACTGCTGAGTTTGAAAATACCCAAACTGCAATGAAATTCAAAAAAAATATATATATACAGGGCTCATTCATGTGCCCTGGATACCTGTGTACCTTAATGAGTACATGGCTGCTCATGTAGCAATGATTTCACAAGGCACGTAGTAGCAAAGGGGAGAAACGATTCCTCTTGCTATACAGAGGAATCTTTAAGACCCAGAAAAGGAGATCGAGATTATCACTGAATTTTAAGCAAGCAAAGCTCGTATGGCAATCTTGCCTCTTCTTTCAGGTTCTCATCTGAACGTTAGCTACAACGTACAAGCACAGCTGCTCCCCAAAGAATTCACCTTGTTTTCTACAGTCTGGGAGAAGGCCATCAGGTCACAGCAGTAAAACTGGACTTGTTTTTGTTTTTGTGTTATCTGAGTATGCTAGGCAATGCAGGGTGCTACTATTTCATTAGACTTAGCAGAAGCACCTGCTGATATCAGTTAGCTCAAACAGATACACCATCACATGATAACCAATGGCAGATAGATTAAAAAAAAAACCCAACGCTAAAACTGCAACCTATTTGGAAAAGAAATAGGGAAACAAATGTGTACAACAGGCTGTCTATCTGCTGGTTCTGATAAGCATCCTCCTGTTGGCTGTGAGTGAAAGACAACTAGGATCGTTATTTGTACAGTATTTATCTTTGAAATCAAGGGCCCTGTGGTGTACCTCACCTTGGGAACAAACACTACAGAATGATCACAGAAGAGTGTCAAATCTCTGGTTTTGATTTACCAACAGTTATGATATTTCTTCCTCAGGAGAAAAAAAATGAACCATGTTTTTAGACCTGCGAGTCCTTTTTTTTTTTTTCTTCCCCTCCCTCAACTGTGGCATCATTTTATGGACTTGCAGGGCTTTCATTCCCCATATAACTTCTCTTTGCTTTCTGCAACAGATCTTTTACTAGGGCAAGTGAAATTAAGCAACGCTGGGTTGATACATATCCTGCCCTTCACTTGATGAACAGACTTTTGAGGTTCGTGTCGTGGTTTGACTGTCAAGATCTCTGCACAAGTACAGTGGGTGTTACTTAAAAATGTCTACCTGTTATGAAAGAGTCTACCATTTTCTGCATTATTTTCAGAATTCTACCATTTTCTGTATGATTTCCTATCTTTTCAGGAAGTAACACGTTTTCAAAACCAATAATAAAATGTAAGGGCAACCACGCCGCGATAGGGGCGACAGACGTGGAGGCTGGAATATCATTTTAGAAACAGCTGCCCACTCCCTTTGCAAAGTCAATTTGCTCCCTGGGGATATCCGTTGTGAGTCACTCAGAGCTGAAGAGATATTGTAAGGAGACAGTCCCCGGGAGTAAAATTCGTGACCTGGGAAATTCAGCAAACTCAAAAGATAAAAGAACACCATGCATAATATATTTGTTTTGTTGTTGAAGGACAGCATAAGAGCAAAATGATGGCTCCAAAAACAGCAGCAAGAAACCCTTCCACAAATGATAAGGGCTGAGGGCAGGGCGACTGGTTCAAGTCTAGCCCAGGTCAGAAACGGCTACAATCTCGTCATTGTTTACAAGTCTTTGTGAAATCGGTTTCGGCCGTGGGACAGGGGACAATATTTCCTTTTTTAGGTCCACAACTCCTAACAAACTTTTCTTACGATGTCGGCAGAGAGGTCGAGAGAGAGATCGAAATACTCCTCTTTCTTAAAGGTGGTGGCAGCAGTGGGGCTGAGACACAGTGACACAAAGCCCGCCGTGTCCCTATTCAGAGCTTATTGCTTCGGGGCCAGACTGCGCTCCACAGCACCATGTTGAGTAGGGCATCGCTCCATAAATCGTTTGACTAAAACCAGTGGCTCTAATCCACAGTAAAGGACTACTCAAGTGAGTAAAGGTTGCAAGACCTGGCCCCTACATTAATAAATAGATTATTCCAATCTCCAAGGCTGTCAGTCAATCTAGCACCTTTCCCTTGGACCAAATTTAATGAAATTAGAATTGTTTTAAAGGCCTAAATGTTATAGAATGGCATATGAATATGAATGAGCTGGCAAGTATGGAGAGATTAGCATTTATTTCACCTAAGTGAACAACAGGATGAATTGAAAGAAATGAAGCCACCCTTCATGGAAATTTATGACTAGTACCTTCTTATTTTGTAATCCTCTTGTAATGAGAACCTTTTCATTACTATACCATCTCTTACTTGTAAGGTATGTTTATAATGGGCCGGATCCTGCTCCCACTGGAGGCAAAAGGATTCTGCCAGCGGCTTCAGTAGGAGAAAGACCGGCCCATTGCGTTTTGAAAGCAGAAATTGCATCTCAACACATTTTTAAAAATCCTTCACAAACCTCTCCCCCCCCAAATTTAAACATGTTGTATTTCTAGTCTGCTACCAGCGCAAATCATGCAACACTGTAGGTTTCCATGGGCTTTTTTCATTTGGACACATCAGGCAGGAGAACAGAATTTGGCCCTTGGTGCGTTTGGTCCGCCTATGCTGCTGGAGCAATTGTTTTTTGTCAGATGTAACAACTGCACAGTGACAGCAAATCTGGGAAATACCAGGGCTCGGAAAAATCAAGGAAGAACCCACGTTAGCCAACAGTCTGAATGCACCTAGCAAGCTACACCGAGAAAAATGCTTCACAATATGAATTTATTTAGGCTTCATCTTGGAGAGATAAAGTTGGTCATTTACTCATCGAGGAGCCATGTGTAAGCTATTACAGCCTTCCCTCGCCTTGCCTTTCCCCAGTTGGGAACCATGCATTGCCACACACAAGCCAATAATGCACTGTTTATGCAACGTGTAAAACTGTGTTCTTTGGCAGTAAGGAAAGGTCTGCAGCAAACTGCAGGGGCCCAATTAATGTAATTAGAGTTTATTTTTAGTAGTGTAGACTTTGTTCATTAGTTACTTATTTGACAGAAATTAATTTCATGTGATGCTTTGCAATCCCGCTGTACAATTAAGGAGTTAATTTAAGGCTAAATTTCTAAATCAAGTGAAATAAAGGTTAAATTAAGGTTACATTGTTTAAATTTTCAATCTCAGAACTTAAAAAAAAAAAAAGAAAAAAAGCAACCAACCCAGACATTTATAATGCTGTAGAAAACCAAACCCCGGATTTTATAGGAGAGAACTGCACAGGACCTGACTTCCCCGACTGGAACTATGGAATCCCCTTCTCCCGGGGGGATAATTTACTATCCCCTATTAAAATGCATTTTGGGCCTGAGTTCAATGGGCTTTGGATCAATGGGAAGTTTTCTGCTGACTTGCACCAGGTCCTCAGTGAATGGAGGGGCAGCATCAAGAATTTCAGAGAATGTTTCTTATAATAGGTGAGTGCCAAAAAAACATTCTTACTTTAGAAATGACTGGAAGTCTTCACATACTGCTTCACAGCCCGGCCATTTGCATACACCGTGTCCGTAGAGCGGGTGGCTATGTGAGTGCTCCTCGTGGGACAAACTGAAGGAAAGAAGCAAAAAGAAGAGGAGGAAAAGTATTGTAACAGAAGGCTTGGTATATAGGTATTTTAGCAAAGATGCTGCTAGCAGCAAACAACAGACCCAGAAATATGCCATTCAGTTTTGCAGAACCCTACTTACTTGGCCCCTGATTATTCAAAATTAAAATTAAATACCATTTGCAACATGAACATGCATCATCTGCCATCCCTACTCTAGGAACCACCTACATTTCATTCGTTAATTAAAAGCTTTATAAGGAATTTAAATGAACATGGATGGGGCAAAAAAATCAAAATCATTTGACAGACTTCCTTAATACCCTGCTTGATATTTTGCCAAGGTATTTATGAACATTATACATTTGCAGTTCATCTGCATCAGGATGAAATGCTACCCCCCCGTATAGCAGCGCAGATTCTCAAATGCAACGTACCTGAGAATTAAAATATTCCACATTGTTTCATAAAAAGGGAACAAAACTTCAAGTTTGCAGCTCTACTGTAATGCTGTATTGTCTGCCCAGTATTATTTTTTTCGTCTCATGTTCAGCTTCTTTGCACTAGTGCAGTCTTTTTATGCTCCAATAAAGTGAATCACCAATGTTTTCAAATGTAAAATTCATCATAAAAAAGGAACCACATAATCAAAGACTTCTACAGTACCAAGGGGTGAGTGGGGGCTATTAACCTTTCTAAGCTTTGGCAGGAATGTCACAGTGCCTTCCAACTACTGAAACTAGGGTTAAAGAAAAACTTCTTATGAACCCTAAGGGGTTAATCCTTCAGCGGGATTCCAATCAATACGTAATGATTTGGCTGCACTGATCCAAGTCATGAGATGCTTTGATCCAGGCCATGTGGTGCTCAGGGAAATGTATCTGTTGCACTAACTGATGAACCATATTGTAAAATATCTTCTTTATTCAACTTCTGCATGGAAACTTCTTCAGCAAAGGAATTATTTTTGCAACAATTTCCATAACCTTAGATGACTTTAAACATAAAATGTCAAAATAATATCGAGGGCTCTATTTTATGCTCACATGCACATCTATTTTTCAGAGCAAATCTTTTTGCTGCAGCGTGTCTGTGCCACATTATGAACTTCAAACATACACAAAGGATATGAGTGCATACCAGCATCTAGGTGTGGTTTTATGACTGACTTTATCATGGATTACAGGTAATGTTATGGATAAACACCTACTTTTTGCCATCTTGCATCTATGCACAGATGGAAATGTCATTTGTTCTCGTTCTGTAAAATCATCTCGGTGTATTACAGAGAAGATTATATTCTTAAATTCTCTCTTATGCACCCAGGAGCAGAGCCACGCTGGAACATGCTCCCAAGATGCTGTATCGTGCAAGAAGAGCAAGACCAGCACATTCCTCCACACCTCCCAGTTTGTCATTTCTCTTCCCAGGCTCAATGGGAATCTCAGGACAGGTGAGGAGTTTTAGAAACTCTCCTGAAGGCAAAAGGTGTGGCACCGGTTGGGAAACGTATCACAAGGGTATATGGGCCCTGCTTTCCATGTTGGTTGAAAATTTGCTCTGTACTTTTTCTCAGCAGTTCTAAAAATCAGCAATCTACTTTCCCTGCAAAACGGAGTGGCCGCAGAGGTTGCAAAGGCCTTGCCGACATGGGAATAGTGCCTCTGTTTAACCGAATTGGTTCTTTACAAATGGATAAGCGGGGAGAAGCTATCACTGATGAGCTGTTAAAG